ATTTACTAATCACACCAAATGACTTATTGCAAATCCCATTGTCTCTTATATCATTTTTACTAAGAGACAAAAAGTAGAATTTGTGCAATTGTAAAACACTGATAGAAGATTTATTTGTGGATTATGAGTAGCAGATTATTGTGTTACACTAACTAATTCATAGCAAGGAATTAAAGCAAGAACCCTGATAAGCCTGAAAAACCAAAACATGAACGATACAGAGTAGATACTGATATATACTAATTCATTTTTATATATTCCTGGGAAGTACTTAATTTGATTTTCCATCTTTTATACTTCATCCATGACCATTTAACTGATACTAAATTGAATTCAATGTTGTGTAAATAAGGTCCTAAACTTAACACTGAACCCTGCAGTGTCTTGAAATCAATACATTGATGAAACAGTCTAGGGTTTTAGAGGAGTGAGGGTCCGACCCCCCCCCCCCCCCCCCCTCGCTGGCAGACCTTTCCCTAATGAGAAGCAGAGCAGGAAACAATCTTCCTGTCTGATGACATCATCTCTAAATCCGTGAGTGAGACAGGGGTGACCTCAGCCCCATGGATTTGCTCTGCATTTCTTGACACCCAAACAAAATCCAACAAAAGCACCTTGTGACGAATGATTATCTTTAGAGACGACGGTGTGAACAGGTGGGAGGCTCCCATCTTTAATGTACCCACTCTGACGCTGACTGCTTTTTTCCACAACATCAGAGCTGTGACCTGTGTGCTATGGTTGTCCATTCACAGGGTTTCATTACGTAAAAATTCAAATTGTGGAGGCCATTTTCTCCTGCATAACTATTAAAAGTTTTCAAAGAAATAGTCCAGCACCGGCATGATGTGTGTGAGCATGAGTTCCCAAATTATTGCCAATTTCTGCCTGCTTTCATGTGTTTTCCCTCACAACACTGTTGCTGCGTGTCTGGACTTGTTTTAAAGCCCCTTCAAACGCTTCTATCATGACCATTTCCCTCAGAGCATCATCTTGAAACGGTGCCAGATATAAAGCGGTAACAGCATGTCGAGCCAGTGTTTTTGGATGAGTTTTAAAGAGTCTCGGAGAAGAAAGGGGGGATAAATAATAACAGCACTGAAAGGAAAAGCGTAATAAAGGCCTAGTTTTCTTAGGGAAGTGGGAGCTTTCATCTCTCTATAACAATAATGTTCTCAATGAGTCCACAGGCCTGTGTTTAGTCCAGGAAGCTACGAGTGGTCGACATGAAAGGCTCCAGTCGGACTGTACAGACCGGCCTCTCGCTGGAATATGCTATCTGGCCTCTCCTCCTCTCCTTTCTTCTCCTCTCCTTTGCTCTCCCCTCCTCCTCCTCCCACATGATAAAGGTAATGGGGAGCTGTGTGGCGTGCAGTGACAGTAAACTATAGTAAAATGGTTGTCTATGATTTTGCCCCCCCTCCCTCTCCAGTGCTATCCCCTGTCTGAGGCCCCCAGGGTTTTGGAAATGGAACATATTTTTTTTCCGCTCTGATGTCATAAGCAGGCCTGTTTGCAGCTGTTGCATGCTTTACAACTCTGTGTTTACAGGCACTTCTCAGCTTAAGGTCTGCCAACACCAAAACTCTCATATTCCACATTTCATAAATACTTAGTCCATCTCCTTTTTCACCCCCCCCCCCCCCCTCTCTCTCCCTCTCTTTTTCTCTCTCATTACCTGGATATGGACTCAGTCTTTCTCTTTCCTGAGCCGCTCTCTTTTTCTCACTAATGTCTCCTAATTGGTTTGTGAGCCATATGTGGGAACAGGTAAAATGTGTTGCCGGATGGTTGTGGGTTTTTTTGTTGTTGTTATGTTTGTTTGTTTTTTTACCAAAAAGCCATATTTCACCACACTGCCTGCCTGTCGACGTGTTAAATCATCACAAAAACAAAAAGATTAGACGCTCTGGATTAAAACGTTGGAGAGAACAGGCTCACCGTGCTCACTTATGCATTCATTTGGCTCTCTTTGAATCACACATATTAATAAATCCTGCTGAGAATGAAATTATTTTAGTTCCAGTTTGTTGGGGTTCCCATGCAGAAAATCTGCATGTTTTTTTTTGCCCGGAATTAAACATTTTTTTCTCTGTCTAAATCCGCTCACACATTTGTTTTCCGTCCCACCCACTTGCCTTTATCTTTTTCATACCCACCTCCCTCCCTTCCCCCTCGTCCTTTTCCTCTGTGCCTCAGCACTTAGAGGCTTAAGAGAGGGATGTACCACATGAGCCACTCCCTTCTGACAGCCTCCCCTTCCCACAGTGTGGAATGGTAGACTCCTGCTTTGCATAAGTTTCCTCTGAGTGGGTTGTGTGTGTGTGTGGAGGCCAGTGCCGAAAGAATTATTACTCCCTTTTGAACGATTTGGATGTATGTCTAGAGAGGAAGCCAGTGTGCTGCTGTAGTGTTACCTCTATTGCTTATAAATAAGCTATAATGTATTGCGCCTACCCTGTCCCTGGAATGGGCAGTAACTCTTTAATGTATTACTACAACGGGAAATCGGTGAGTAGTCTCTTTGGGAATGTCTGTTTTGGACTGAGGAGATCTGGAAGAAGTGAGTGTGTGTGTGAGATAGAGAGAGAGAGAGAGAGAGTGAGTGTGACTGTTGGTGTCAGTCTGCTTGTCCATGACTGTCCTTATTCTATTTATTTAAAATGAAAGCACTGTGTTCCTTGTGTGTGTGTGTGTGYGTCTGTGTGTGTTTGTGTGTGTGTTTGTGTCAGTGTGTGGATGCATGTACCCAAGGCTCCTCTTACTGCTTTTCCATTACATCAGTTAAAGCTGCAGTTCCAGTGTCTTTACTGTGTTATAAACTTATGTTAGCATGCTTCTATATTCTTCTTTGCACCACAGCTAAACGAGTAAACACTCTTGGCTACACTGAAAAAGAAGTCATGCCATTTAAAAAAAAGAAAGTTCTCTCGCACACAGAATCAAACGGTGCAGCATAAAAAAAAGTTTTTTGCAGCCTTGAATTTATTTTTACTGGCTGGTTGCTTCAGCTCGAAGTCTGGGTTGAAATAATAACAAGTGGGAGTCTGGGAATGATTAAGGGAAAGAGGCAGCCTGTTGAGGTTAGACTTTCCTGTTTGCAGATTGAGCTCCAAGAACCAGTGTTGCTGTTATTCCATCTGTTTTTAATCATTTTGGCATTCTTCACGCCACAGGGAGCCTAATGTGATTTCTGAACTTCTCTGTAATGACCTCTTTGATTTGTGTTACTCTGAAAACGTTTTCTGCACGCTTGGTAAATACATGCATCTTTTCCTGTTAATGTGTACATGCGTGTTTTACCTTCACTTGGACTTGAAGGTACTGTTGTTTTGACTAGAGTTACTGGTCGTGCTTGTGCTGCAGAAAGTTTTTAGAAGGTGATCAGCCTGTTTTTTTAACAAAGTTTTTGTAAAAAAACTATTTTGTGGGATGATGAATCTGCTCAAGGACATAGTCTCACAATAGTGAGATAAGCTCTCTCGTGCATTTCAGTAATCCTTAAGTAATGATCCTGTCATAAGCAAATTACACTGGCGCATTTCCACCTGTCATTGCATGTGCTGTTTCTGCTATTTCATAAAGAGCATATGCAACTAACGGAAAAATAAAGAGGTGAGGTTTTTAATGACGTTCTATTGAAAAGGTCATCTTACTCAAGCTTGTGTTTCAACTTTCCTTATAAGCCATTACAGCATTTCCTCTTTGTTCCCTCAGCACAAAAGACAACTTTGATCTTTTTCATAAGTATTAACAGGCTTGTGTTACAGTTGGTGATGGGGAGAAAATTGATAGCATGTGGAACGAATACGCAAAATTTATGATCAAAAGCACTTGTTAAATAACCAGCATCAAATTTTTTTTGTTTTCCCTGCAAGAAGAAAATAAATATGGCACTCATTCTTTGCATTAACTTGATCCATATTAATTTGTTGTACTGCAGAGTTGCACAGCAAACTCACCATCTGGAGCACTGGGAGAATTCACAGTGGGCCGTTGGCTTGTGAGCTGGTGGCACAGAACCAATACGGATGGAGAAATTCACTCATCTTTCTTCTGTTGCCTATTAGTGAAAAAGAAGAAAATGAAGCGAGAGAGCTGCAGCGATTTTCAGGCCGTTTTTCCTTATTTCGCTTCACAGATAGACCCCCCCCCCAGCTACAGCAAGTTCAATGTCATCAGATTTTATCTTAAATAAAAACACAGAAGACACAACATGTGTTCATGTAGATGTGACATTCCTGCTTGTGCTGTTGTTTTCGCAGTGCAACAGGTTATAGCATGAACACCTCACACATCAACAGAAGCTAATCCTTACATCTCCCTAATGTTCACATATGTTGCACATTCGTTCAAGCACGAGCGCTACATGTGCAACACAGTCAGGTGTGAGGGAATAGTGTGTCTGTGTGTTGAACTATCATAGTGTATTTAACGTATGTATAAGACACATATGTTGTGAGGGGTTAATGAGGTTGCATTGATGCCAAAACCAAATTTTTGTGGCTTTAGCAACTGGAAGGTATTCTGCTGTGTTGTCACTCTATTTTTAGAGAAGCAGACTCCCAGAAGGCTGCTCCTCTGTCACTATGTGCACTTGGATAAAATATTTTCCCTACAAGGAGAAAAGCAAATATATTAAATTACTTGTTTTTCTTACATAACAACTAAAGTCATGCATACATTTGCATATTGATACAGATAGAACGTTATATGCTGCAACATAAATGTTGTGGGGTGTGTCACTGGTATTTATGGCAGATTGCAAAAAAATTGTTTTCTTATCTATTTTCTTCTGTTACATTTAAAATTGTACCTGTGGTTATTTGTTGTGTAGCTACATATGTAACACATCCATTTGTTTATTTGTATTGAATATTTTTCATATTTACAAATGATTTAGTATTTAGTATAATTTATTTATGTAGGATTATTATTATTATTAGCATAATAAGACAAGATGTCATGTGTCTCTATTGCAAACTAAACCACAGAAGTGTGTTAGATTTAGACTTGAAACAAAATGCCCCAGAGAAATGGTTCGATTCCAAGTAATGACATACAGCTCAGAAACAGGACAGCCCATTAAGAGTGCGTTTGAACTTCTCTCTTTGAGCTTCTTGGCCATTAGCCCGATTTTTTATTTTTTACCCTAGTTTGTATTTTTTTTACATTTCCTTTCCCTTCCTGTTATTACCCTCAGTACTGGCTGACAGATTGTGTTTTGACATGTGATATTTCGATTGGCGTGGCGCAAACTTCAAAGGTGCAGGAACCACAGGCTTTGAGACACGGTGTGACAAGGTGTGCAGGATGTAGTCTCAGTGAAGTCTGGTGAAGTCAGGATACAGAATTGAGCCAATAACTCAATACAGTGTCTTTATTTGAAGCAAGGTATTATCACCAATATATAAAGTTTTCACTTTATAAGAGTTAAAAGTTCAACTTGTTCTTTATCTCACTGTCCTTTCTAGTTAGATTTCAATATTGTTATTGTCATATACTTAATAGCAGTGCAATCATTACCAGTAGTTAAATGTTCAGAGCCTATTCAACTTTACAAAGAAGTACCATAAATATATTTTGGTCAGTAGAAAAATGTTAAGTAGGCAGTAATTAGTTCAAAAAAGCAGTATGGTCATTGCTGAGGACAAATCTAATCTGCTATTATATTATTTTTCCTCACTGATGTAGCTTTGATGCATCAAAACAGTTAAATTGAAGCTTCCTGAATATTACATTCATGCAGATTTTTAGTTGTATTTTATTTTTTTCCTTTATAAACGTACTCGCTGCAGCTCAAACAGCTTATGTAGGTCTGTGTCGCTGTGCTTAGCCGTGTGAGTGACGGCTTTTAATTAATGGCCTTGTAAAAAGAAACCCAGGCGGGCCCTCTCTTCCATAGGCCGACGGAATGAGGCACCCAGTGTTTGGGATGGTTTATTAATGTCTTGACTGGTTAGCCCAGGGTAAAAAGGACAATTAGCATTATCCGCTGCCATATGCTGCCCATTGAGCATCTGACAGAGGCGAAAGACAAAAGCCTGGGCTCCTGTGTGTGAGGCTAACCTGAGATCTCCATGGATCTCCTATCAACCTTGGTCACATGTGTAAGCCAGAGGACCCAGGAGAGCTCCACCTCTCCCAGAGCACTTTAATTACACACCCAGACAACAACACACTGGAGTCCTGCTCACTCAGCAAAGCCAACAGCCCAGAGTCCCCCTTAAGCTGCGTTCCACACAGATATAATGAGCGAGTCATTGGACTGAATTTATATACCTTGGTTGTGATGCCTTTTTTCCACCAGCGCTGTGTCATAAAACAACTTAAACAAGTCAACATCCTTTGTAGCCGTCATCCCACCTGCAGGCATTGTAACAATCTTAAAAGGAGTGAGCTGGGCCAACAGCTGAGTGTGATGTTAGGACACTGAAGGAGGGATGGGCACGGACTGGAAACTCGCAGGTGGAACCTTGCTGGCAGTTCTGGCTCTGATTAGTGTTACACTATGGTGGGGTCATCGAGTCTTGCCTCTGCACGGGAGAGTTTGTTCAAACCCTCTCTCTCTCCTTGCCTCCCTCCCTCACCCTCTGTCTCCCTCCATCTGGAGTGGATGAAGTCAGTGACCACATCACTGGTGTTTGGCTTCCACTGTCTTTGATCCTCCCACCTAGCTTGGCACACACACACACACACACACACACACACACACAC